GATTGATATTGAGTTGGTACACTGTTTAATATAAAATTGCCAGTTTCACTCACATATCGCAAATGATGATAAGGCTGGTGCACCTCTCTTAAGACCCTACCAACTCTGGTTTCTCCAGCATGTACTGTATTCCAATACATGACAAGTAGCCCGTCATAAATTTTCGTCCGTAGGACGGTCCTGTCTAACACACACACAAATGTAATACATGATCTGATGTACTGCAGTCAAACCAGTCAACATTAGCTCTCTTAAATATTGGCGTGGTTCATACATGGTGCATTACAATAAGAGAAACAGAAAGTGCCTCTGCAGTCAAAAAACAATGAGAGAAAATGAGATGCATAATTATAGACAATGTACATTTATGAAGAAAATAACACATTCTGTCATTACAGTTTGACTAATAAGCATGAAAAGAAAATGACAGTCTGTCATTACAATATTCACTTCACAGACACCCTGCGAAGGAAACTCATTTCGGCCTCTTGTATCCGCGATCTCAATCTTTCGGCCACTACCCAAAGTTTGTGACCATAGATGAGGGTAGGAACGTAGACCTACCGGTAAACCGAGAGCTTTGCCTTCTGGCTCAGCTCCCGCTTCACCACGACAGACCGGTACAGCGCTCGCATCACTGCAGACGCAGCACCAATCAGCCTGTCGATAAAAGTTATGAACAGAATCTGTGACAAAAGGCAACCTTGGTGGAGTCCAACCCTCACCGGAAACAAGTCCGACTTACTATCGGCAATGCGGACCAAGCTCTGGCACCGGTCATACAGGGCCCTAACAGCCTGTATCAATGGGCCTGATACCCCATACTCCTGGAGTACCCTCCACAGGAGTCCCCGAGAGACACGGTCAAACGCCTTCTCTAAGTCCACAAAACACATGTAGACTGGTTGGGCAGTACCATCCAGGACCCTGCTGAGCTGCTATATCTTTACCCAAACTAAAAAATGTATCGTCTGCAAATAAAACAAATTTAAACAACACTGACACATTTATTAAATAATTTACATACAAAATAAATAGGTCCAAGTACAGAACCCTGAGGAACCCCACATGTAACKCTACAAAGTTCAGATCTTACATCATTTATTTGAACAAAGTGTTACCTATTATTCAAATAGCTAGAGATGGAGCTCATTTCACAAAAGTCAGATTTCTAAATTCAGGATATGAGCTGTAAGCTGAGCTTGAACTAGCCTTCAACTTGTCAACAGCTGTAATCTGTTGCTCTAAAACCAAGCYGCGCTCAWTCAAGGCGGCCCAGTCAAGCAGCTGTAAATGGTTTAAGATTAATGCACGTTCACGGTTTGTTTACTAGACCCATCAGGTGGATCACAGATTTCCTGATCAGGCATGCACAGTAAGACACGTGAGTCTCACTTCTTCCAGCAGTTAAATGGTTAATTATGATTCATATGAAGAGATGAAGAGAAACACCAACTGATACTGAAATAATTTCAAACATAWAAACTTTTTGAGCCACTGAATCGGTTTGTAAGTTATCTGAGATTAACTAAATGAACAAAATTAAGATGAACTGCTGATTGTTCACTTAAAATGATCACAGCTGTACATTTTGGAAACGATACAGATGTGTGTGTGTGTGTGTGGGTGGGGGGGTAAGAAAGACAGACTACCACTGGGCTGTGTGTGTGTGTGTGTGTGTGCAGAACTGAGGGCTGTGCGCCCTTTAAACTTTTTGTATCTCTTAACCACTCCTTCAGCGACAGACTGCTGCATCTGTGGTGCCCAAAGGAGTTATCGCAGATCCTTCCTCCCAGCAGCTGTCAGACTCTATAACCAGCACCACGCCCAAAAATCACAAGTGTTTACAAAAATCACAATAAGTGTTTACAAAAATCACAATACGTGTTTACAAAAATCACAAGTGTTTACAAAAATCACAATAAGTGTTTACAAAAATCAAAGTAAGTGTTTACACACCTGCTGCTGCCCACACAATCATTTGTACTGTTACTATTTATTGTAATTACTCATCTGAACAATCATTTGCACTACTCATTTATATTATTACTTATCTGAGCAATCCCCTGCGCTGCTGTGACACCTGAATTTACCCTTGGTGGGACAATTAAGGCTATTTCTATTCTATTCTAATCACTCAGCTGTTTCCACCCACGTCTGTATTTTACCAGCSTCTGTTCACCACTTCAGCGTCTGGTCATYGTTTGGTTTCTGCCCTGGCTTCATTACACGTTTCTCTGTTTTTCGTTTTGGATTTTTGCTGCCTCGTCAGCTTTTCCTTTAATAAATCTTTTTTTTTTTTACTTGAGCCTGTCTGCCTGTGTTATGGGTCAGATGTCGCCTCAGATACCTGATGGAATGTCCCTGAAACAAAAACTCTTCTAGCCTCTAAGAATCGTATCTGCCTCTGGCTGCTCTGAAATCACTGAGCTGGGTTTGTCCCAGACAGATGTGAGATTTCAGAAATGAAATCAGCTTTACAGAACGTCTCAGACCTGCTGGCTTCAAAAGTTTTGTGAAAATATCTTGAGTCTTCTCAAACAGCAGGTGCATTATGTTCCCTTGTTTCTATGTTCATTATTAATAAATGTTAACAGCACTGGTCTGTGGACTCAACAACAAGGGTTAAAGGATCAAACTGGTGTAACCAGATCAATATCAACATCCAGTTACCAGAAAACTTCAACTAAACTGTTTCTTTGAAACTCAAAGCAGCAGTTCCAGATCAATGCTCTCAGCCTCCACTGACCTGAAGGTGAGGAGAGACTGAACTGGAAATGTGAGGTTTATAAACAAAACCAGTGATTTACTCTCTGACCATTCCTCCTGACTCGGAACACTAACAGGACCGACCTGAACCTCAGCAGGTCAGGAGCCCAGAGGGAGCTGTTGTTACACCTGAATTCCCCCCAACAGCATCGACTTTATCTGATGAGACGCCATCAGCTGACCGACAGGTTCACCAAGAGAAGAAGGTATAAAACCACAGCGTTCACTTTTCCACAGCATCCTCCTTCCAGTAGGTGCTACTGCTCTGCTGCTACTGCTCTGCTGCTACTGCTCTGCTGCTACTGCTCTGCTGCTACTGCTCTGCTGCTACTGCTCTGCTGCTACTGCTCTGCTGCTTGGATCAAACATCACAGCAAGGTAAAATCTGAGACGTGTATCTAAGCCTGACTATATTTAGCTGTTTTCAGCTGTAAACGTTTGGTTTTAAAATAAATGTTTTGTTACAAAACAAAGCTAAATTTATTGTTTCTATTTTATAAGGAAATATAAATTTTTTTGTGGCAGTACATTTTAAAATGAGTTATTATGAATTATTGGATTATTTTGCCCTGAAATTTAAACTGTGATGTTTCCACAGATGTCTTCAGCCCTGCTCTTCATGTTGCTCCTCTCTGGACTGGGGATCGGAGGAAATGTAGGTTTGAAACAAAATCTCATTTTAAATCAAATGAATGAACTATGAACTAGAGTTAAAACGTTAAATTTTTCATATGTTGGTCAAAATTTGACTCTGTGCTTTTTTAACTTCCACAGATRTTTAGCGATGCAGGTCCAGGTTGGTGTTTTTTCTGCTAAATTTTCAAAAATATTTTCTAGCAGACATCCTGAGCAACAAGCTTTGTGTGTCGGKCYGTTCATGAAAAACTTAATGAACACTACTTAAATACAGTCATTCACTCCCTCACCTAAACTCAGAGTTAAGCTGGAGTACCTGGAGAAAACCCACACATGCATGGAGAGAACATGTTAATTCTACCCAGAAAGCCTTCTGGTTCAACAGGCTGTGCCACAGCTGTTTCAGTCATTTATTATTTTCTTCTGTGTGTAGTTATTTGTCCCCCCGGGCCCCCGTGTGTCCCAACTCGCTGTCCTGTCGGCTGGACTCTGTATGCAGGACAGTGTTACCTGTTTAGATCAACTGCAAAATCCTGGGCTAATGCTGAGGTTAGTGTGACRTGTTGGTCTTTATTTATGGTTTAAAGGGTAAAACTTTAAGTTTTGACTGGTTTTCTCAGCCGTGTTAGTGGATAACTAGCTCATGGTGCACATACAGTGATGAAGATGTGCTAACTGTGTTTTTATTTTCCCACTCAGGCGTACTGCAATGTGTTTGATGCACACCTGACCTCCATTCAGGGACCGGCTCAGTACAGCTTCATCAGGAAGCTCATCGTGAAAGCCACAGGAGTCAACACCAGAACCTGGGTTGGAGGCACCAATGCTGTACGGGTTAAGATTTTGTGTTGGAGGTGTCTGACGTTTAAACAAACAGCATGAAAAGACAGATCTTTTGATTGTCTGAAATCTTCTAACAGGGTGGTGACTACTGGAGGTGGGTCGATGGTTCCCCCTTCACCTTCACTAACTGGGGTCCAGGAGAACCAAACAACTTGGGTGGAAATGAGCACTGCATGGATATCAACCTGAGAGGTAYRGGAACAATGTCACCCTACACTTTAATTTGTTTTGTGAGCTCGTTTGCTTATTTTTTAATTTTAAACAAGACTTCAAATTCAATCATTTTTGGTTTTCAGGACAAGATTACGTCAACGATGAAAACTGTGACACAAAAAGTGCTTTCATTTGCGCCAAGGACTTCTTGCCTGTGTTGCCTTGAGATGTCTGACACGATGATGTCACTTCCTGCAGGAGGTCAGGCCTCGAAGACGTTTCTTCTGGAAGACAAATGGTCAAATCTGATGACAAAGTCAGATAATAAACATGAAAAAATGTGTCTTCTAAAAATCTTTTGGCCTTTGTCTGATGTTTGAGTTAAAATTACTAAGACAATAAGTCTAATTTTGTTTATAAGTAAAGTTTTATTTATAAAGCGCCTTTCACAGAAACATATTCACAAGGTGCTCTACAATGTAAAAATGGCGAAAAGTTAAAATGAAACAGAATAAAACATAATAAAAATAAACAACACAATGAAACATCAAATCAAGGATAAAGTCTAAAATTGTAACTCAGACACACGGTCGAGGCAGAGCATGACAAGATGAGTGTTATGTATGCAAGACTGCACAAATCATTAGAAAAACTGTTGGATAAAAAAGGGGGCGGGTGACATTTATGCTAATTATACAATAATACAACAAACAGAGAGAAGGGGGAAGAGAAAATTATGCTGTATGTACAATAATACAAAAACACGTATTTGGCGAGCATTCACGAAAGGGGTAGGCTGACATTAATGGTGAATGATTAGTTAAAAGCTTGAGTAAAAAAGTGGGTTTTTAGATGTTTCTTCAAAGAGACAATGTTATCAAGGGAGCACAGATTAACAGGGAGTTCATTCCAGAGCCTGGGGGCCACAGAGGAGAAGGACCGGTCACCACGGGCCTTAAAGCAAGTGAGGGGAACCATAAGGAGGTGTTGATCATGTGAGCGTAGGTCCCATCTGGGGTTGTAAGGGGAAATGACACGTTTAATGCAGTTGGGTGCTTGGCCATGGAGAGCTCTGAAAGTGAGGACCAGGATTTTGAACCTGATTCTGAACTGAACCGGAATCAGAGGCGATTTACCTGACTGCAAGGGAAGCTCAGCTTCCCWTAAAATGAAAAAATAATAAGTGATCAAATACGTACTGTTGTGTGTACATGTCATTGACTAAATATGCTCTACAACACGCTTTTGTTCAGAATCAGCTTCTTATCGCTGGTAACGACGTGGCTTTCCTCATTCATTCCCGCAGCTTCACCGTGCTTTAAACAGTCAGACGCTGAGAGTCCACAGAGTTCAACAGTGAAGCAAAGACTGCAGCGAAACGAGACGAGTCATTGGACAAATACTGGGCTTTGTCCCGCCCATCGGACGCTCAGCGTCTCTGGGAATCTACGCTCAGCTTCTGCATGATGATTGGATGATCTGTCAGAGGCTGAATCCCTTTTTTGATTGACAGCGAAATGAGCGAATCAGAGATCTTTTGGTGTAAACATTCAGTGCAAACCTTTTTTAGTTTCATTCTGTTCTGAGTTGAACCAGAGACTTTAGATAGATTGGATTAGATTAGATTAGATTAGATTAGGCCTTTATTGTCATCGTACAGAGCACAATAAAATTACCGTTCAGAACAGCCATTCAGAAGAAGACAGAACATAAACATAGGAGAACAGGTGCCCTGGGTCATGCAGCCACTGACCCTGCACAGAGMAAGGATCATCATCATGAAGACATCATGAGGAGGTGCAACCCTTAACAGAAAAACTAAAAACCACATAAGGGAAGATGAGGAAAAACAAAACATCATATTATGTCAAAAATGTGACACACTGTGGTGTTTATAAAAAAACCTCTGCATACTGTACAGCAGATTTATTAGGCAGAGGAGTAAGTGAGTTTAGGGCGGAGTGTATCTGAAGCCATGAGTGTTGTATGCTTGTGTGAATATCTGAAAAATGAGCCAGAAGAATCCAGTCCCCAAAACCAGCACAGCCATAGTTCAGAATATGGATGTTAACTGTTCATTCTGTGCGGCCCTCAGTTTGCTCCAGAAACCAGATCACAGACGGATGTGAGGAGGGGAGGAGGTGTGGGGCAGACCCTCAGTCGACGTATCCAACCAGGAAGAATTTAGTCCAACAGCTCAAGGCCATGTAGGAGAGCCTGATTCTGTAATCAGTTGTTTTGGGAACAGAAGAGTCAGGCAGACGATAACAATCTTCAATCCGTTCTCATCCCCCCGCATCAACATACTGACGCTTGGTCAATATCCATATTTTCTGGTTTCAGATGAAAACGTAGAAGAGGCTCCAGCAGCAAAGCAGGGAAGATAAGGAAGGGCAGGAGAGAAGGAAAAAGCATCTTACTCTTCCGAGAACAGAACAAAAAAAATAATCCTAATCCTCTTAGCAGTATTTTCTTTGTTAAAAACAACTAGCGACAAATCGAGCTTCTATTTCTGGTGGGGTTTTTTTGTTGTTGTTTTTGTAGCTGCTTGTGTTTGGAGACTGACATCTATCGCTCTGACTTCTGTGTGAAATATGAGGCAGAATGTGTTCTTTTTGTTTTTGATRTTGTTTAATTATCACTACTTTTATAGGGTTCTGTATGTTTTATTCATGATTAAATGCAGAAAAATAAACTAATTCAGAGGTAACAGATCTTTGTAATACTTGGTTTATTTACATAATAACTTTGATTACTGGATGTTCGGCCYCTCAGCTGTTGACCTGCAGTAACTGTGGCCCCCCAGAGTGATTTAGTTGAACAGCCCTTCTCTAATGGCCGTTTTTGAACACATTTTGAATTTACCCTTATATTTTCACTTTAAAAAAACTATTTACCTAGTCTTGTTTGGTATCATTATTTTCAGCACAAGTTCAGTTTTATGATTTTAGTGTTTTTTTTATTTTTTTTTTACAAACTGAATTATCACAGTGAACCAAAAAAACTCACAAAAAACAAAATCCGAGTTGGAAAATTTTGGCAATTTTTATTATAAAATTCGCAAAAATGTTTAACAAACCATTTTTCTAACCTATACTGAAAATCTATAGTGTAAATTTCATAAACGTGTACAAGTTCAGCAAAAAACAAAATTATATCCATGTTTTTACATTAAATTGTGTGCAAATTCCCAGGCATTTCTTTACAACAATTTACTGAATGTCACAATGACTCCTCCACAACTCTCTCTCTGAAAAAGAGAGAGTCTCTCTAACCTTACAATGTCCCATGTGTTTTTTTTTATTTTACAACCATTTCAAAAATGTGTGACAATGACTCAATCATAAAAACTTTCCAACATTATGTCTCATGTTTTTGTTTTTACAACTATTAGTCCTGAACATTGGTAGATGAACCATAGACGTGTAGATCAGGAGATCCAAAGATTTATATAACTCCTGTGTCTGTTTGAGCCCATTTATATTTTCTTCCTCTAGCTTTTAATTTTTTTTTGTAGCATTTTTGTTGGGGTTTTCACAGATGGTTTTGACTGTATCAGACACAAAAAACAACAAAAAAAGGTCTTTTGGACTGTGGGGGGGACAGCAGATCTACCTGCACTCCTGGTGGTCTCCAAAGCTGAAAACGTCTGAACAACAGGGGCTGTGTCTGCTTTCTTTCTTTGTTCCACTGATCATCACCTGTTTCAGCTGCTGTACCTGCTGCTGCAGCCAGCAGGGATCTGGTTCTGGATCAGGGCCTGGTCCGACTTCGTTGTAGTTTCTGTGTTGTGGGCCTGACAGAGTGGGTGGGCAACTTCTCCTCCTCCTTTTCCTCCTCCCCTGGAGATGAAATCAGCTTGTATAATGTGGCACAGTTTGCCTCTGTTATAATTTTTATCTTTTACGTATTCCACGTTAAATAAACAAACAAAGAAACAAAGAAAGAATGAACTAACCACCGAGTCTGAATCCTCCACCGGTGCCGTTTTCCTCCTCTTCTTCAAGCTCAGTACTCTCACTGCGAGCTCCAGTCATGTAACAACGACTCATTTTGACACACAGATTAACAACACTACTACAAACACACTCACACACTCTAACACACGTCTTGTCTAAAAACTAACCCGCTACTAGCGAAATCCAAAATGCCGAAATGAAGCCGTTCTCCTCCCGTCTCCAGACTTTGCGGCCGTCCAGAACCTCTTTCCCCACCAGCATACTGACAAACTGTTTTCACTGGTTGTTTCAAAAATGTGGTGTGTTTGAGGAAATAGGAAAAATAGGTTTCATTGTGCTTTCAAGCACTTCCTGGTCAGAAAACGTTCTCTGAATACGCACCAAATGCGAAAAAACGCGCATAACATTATGGTAAAAATGATTAAATCTGGTTTTATTTGGAAGTAAATAAAAATATATATAAAAACATTACTTTTATAAAGTTAGAAGTCCGTGCTGTCCAACCCAGTTCAAATGAACACTCTGTATGCTGCCATTTTTTTACAGTAGCCCTTTAAATGTATCACGTCTTTGCCCGCTCCAGAGCGGGCGTCGACCTCAGAGCGTTAATAAGTTTATAATAAAAAAAATCTAAAAGACAGTCCTACAGGTCTGTATGCAAACAAAACAAGAGAAACCTGTCTAATTTACAGACAATCTGTACAACTTGACACAAAGCCACGACTACAAAAACCAACAATAATACACAAACGCAGAACAATATGATGCTGTACCTCATACAGG